TATGTATACATATGTGTATATTTATATACACATGTATATATATATATATAAATATATTTATATGTATATTTACATATATATACATACACACACACACACACACATATATATATATATATGTATGTTTAAGTATGTATGTATGTGTATTTATATATGTATACACATATGTATAGATACATACATACACACAGACACACACACATATATATATACATATATATATATATATACATATATATATATATACATATATACATATCTGTACACACACACACACACACACACATATATATATATATATGCATACATATAAATAAATAATGAGTAAGAGGAGTCATTAGATCTGCCAGTGATATTGAAAAGGTGCGGGAAAAAATCGCGGAAGGCGAGGATCGGATCCACCTTTTGCAATCGCATGCAATTCGAACGTGCTGAAGTTCAAGAATCTCGTGGAATTGCAAAATAAAAAGGTGTTTCCAGAAGACTTCTTATTCGATGGACTCGGCTTATAGTTGGTATAGGCTGCAGAGCACTCTATATATTTACGTAAGCATATTCTTGATACCCCGCTCACTTACGTCATTTACGTGCAAAATTTGTGAGATAGTGACCGATATTTGAATAGTTTTAGTTATTTAAGCGGCTGTAAGAACACGGTGCGCTATATACATATAAACACCTTAATTATATAATTGAAGTAATGTTATTGCAAAAGGATCGAAACACTACCCAAATATAGACCAGTTGGCCTGCGGCCTCCCTCTTCCTTGACCCTTCTCTAGAATTTCAAATTTGGGTGCTCTCCAGAGCCTAGTGGTATCGCATATATGCGACAATAACTTGGACGTTTGTACATAGCTTCTGAGACATGTCACAAGAGTCTGAGATATTTTGAGCCCTGCGGGCAAATATGATCTGGTTTTAATTTTCTTTGACGTAGATATGTAGATATGTACATGCGGAGATACAACGAAGGTAGTATAAGATTTACGACTTGTGTCTTGTGAGGGAAAAAAAACCACAGTGTGTACAATGTACCACACGAGCGATTCCTCTTTTTTGATGTGTTTCCCATAGTCTGCTGAAAATTAAAACATTTCAGAAGGCTATGTTTACATACCTTTTTTTGTTTGTTTATATTATTTTAACACCCCTTCCATGTACCTAGGGGATTAAATCGGGCCGAGAATTAAGAACCGTTCGTTCCTGACTAGCTAAATCTGGAATTCTATTTATTCCCAATAATGTTTTTGTTTTGGCATATTTCAAGATTTAGTATTTTGAAAATGATTTGCGAAGGCGCCAAGGTCGCACTACTAGTAGAAACCTTCTATTTGTAGGAGTTTAACACTACATCGGAATCCTCCAAAACGCGATTATTGGGTCTAAATAAGCATAATTTGCAAAGTTTCAATGTTGTCACGTACAAATATTGTCCAAGCAATATTGTATATGTATTCTTATAACCGTATTGCAAGCTACAGCTGCTAAAATCGAGAAAAAGCGTATTCACGGCATTTGATGTGCAATGCCATCGAATGTACGATGAATCTCATTTCCTGAACTTTTCGTCAGAATTCACTAAATATTCACCCACATACGATTAAAAGCACATTATTATGGTTTAATTATGGTTATGTAAGTATAACAAAGGTCTGAAAAACATAGTGAAGCCATATATTTGGATACGCACACCAAATGGATGTCATTGATTGACAAGCATGCACTTGAATGGTGATTTTGAGCAAGTATAATAAGCCCTCTATACCACAATAATGGGTTCAGAAGTAATAATACCTATATATTTATTATATATGAGAACCCTTAGAAGGTTCAAGATGTTAATACGCGACCCGGAAATCCAAGATTTGGCATGGTCGAAAAGTGTGCACCGATACATATCTCATGAACCAATACATAGCCTCCTAAATTCAACAACCTCCACTTGGTGCCTTCGCAAAATTCTTTTTTAAAAATTGTTTCAAAAAAAAAGTCTAGAAAATAATACTGGGTTTTTATCCAAAACCGGATTTAGTGAATTAGGTTTGGTTCTTAAAGATCGACTCCCTTTAGTAGTTAGTAAATGGATGGGGTGTTAAAAAACTATAAAAAACTATTTTATTATTGTTTTTAAAAACAAATAAAAAACTAATAAAAAACTAAATTGAAGACCTTCATCAGACTGCCACTTCATAGTAGTCTTATCATCACTATTTATCGCTCTATCAGCTAGCTCTCTCAGTGACTCATCCTGACTCATAGACCCCTGTCTGAGACTCTAAGGAGTGAGGACTGAGGTCTGAGACTCTGAGGCCGAGGGCCTATAGAGGCTGTCTCTCTCTCTCTCTCCTGCTCGAGTCGAGAAAGTGAAAGTCATAAAAAGAAGGAGCTACGTGAAATGGTGAAAGAGCCGCCGGTTTAAGCTTTAGAAAAATATATTTATTTATAGAAGGCTATGAACTGGCATTGTTTTTTAAATAAAAGAAAGAAAAACACGTCTCGAGAATGCCCCGGGGTGCTATTTACTACCAGTATATAAAAAAATAAAATAAAACATCAACCTTATTACAACATATATTAAATTTTAAATTTTAAATGTTGCAAAGTAAAACATGCGAATGTAAGACACTGCTGAGTGAACAAATATGGGCTTTTAAATTGTAAAATTTTATATAAAAAAATTGAAAAAAGATTGTGGACAAAACAAATCATATAAAAATAATATTGTTGACAAAAATGTTTTATTTAGTAGGCTATGGACAAAATGTCAAAAAAAAAAAGGAATTAACAATATTTACATACATATTTACTCTCACTAGAGTGTATTGATTGTTTATATTTATTTATATTTATGAGTCTTGTAAAGTTTTTATTATTATTACTGTTTATAAATATATCAAATATGTGCATATAAATACGTACTCTTGTCTGGTTGTGTCGTCTTACATAGCCTCTATTTCAAACACGTCTTTTAATTAGACAAATAATCGATTTACAACCTGGGCTCGACAGGGTTATGCGTGACGTACGGTCTCTTGTGCGACATGAAGGTACCCCACCTTATCTTAGTGACTTTGTTATGTGCTGT